AACACCCAGGTTGCCGGTTCGATCCCCACATGAGCCACTGAGCTGCGCCCTCCACAACTAGATTGAAACTACTTGACTTGGCGCTGATGGGTCCTGGAGAAACACACTTCCCCAATAAAAAATAAATAAGAAAATAAAATAACAAAAAAAAATTGCTGTAAAAAAAAATAAAATAGGTCCTATCCAGGGTATCAGGTATCCACTGGGGTCTTGGGCCGCATGCCCCTTGGATAAAGGGTGAACTACTGTGTATCAGGATCGTCAGTCACTGTGATGTACATGCTATACCCTACTCGTACAAAACTGGCCGCAATTTCAAGGCAGGAAGCGAGTCTCATTGCTCTTTGTACCCCCAGAGTCCAGTAGTGTTCTCACGGCGAGGACACGATGGAAAGCAGAAAGTTAGGAGTCCCCAGAGCCAGTTACTTTGACCACCACTTTCCGGAGTAGTTATTCCATTGGGGTTTAGGCACCAAGGAGAATCCAACACCATAAGCTCCTGAGAGAAGAGCCAACCCTTTGCCCACTCTCAAAGCCACCTCTGGGCCGAGGCTGGATCCGTTTCCAGGGCAACAAAACTGGGACGCGAACGGAGTCGCAGATCCACGGCCTCCTCCAAGGACCTGCCCGCAGCTTAGGAACCAACTAAATGAGCAAGAACTTGGCCGTCTCAACCTGCAGTCGCGCGCTGAAAATCTCAGGCCACCGCGCCCACCACTTCGGTACCACCGCCGACACAGCTTCAGGGATTCTGGCGTCGCCCAGTTCTGGGCGCGACAACTTCCGCCCCGAAGGCCCCCGGCTCCGTGGCTTGCCGGGGTCCTAGCGATGGAAAGGTGGCCACGGCAGTCGCCTGACCGATACGGAGTTCTGGGACAAGGGCTGCTGCGGCCTTCTCCCTGCGGGCGGCGGCGACAGGGTCGCTGAGAGGATGCCCGCAGCTAGTGGGACCTCGCGCCTGGAGGGTGACTGGGGGCGGCGCGCGGACCGGGAGCTGGCCTGTCAGGCGGGAGTCGGGCAAGTGCGGTGGCGGAAGTGCGAGGACGCGGTCGGAGCCGATCGGTCTAGGAAGCCGCGGCCGCGGGGTTACCAACCTCGGAGCAGCTGCTTAGCCTTAGCCAGACCGCAGCGACTAAGGCTCGGGCGTCGACAAGATGCCTCTCTTCACCGCCAACCCTTTCGATCAAGACGTGGGTAAGTGCTGGTTCCGGGGCCCGGGCTGCTGTTTGTCCTGCTAAAAAGTGGGCGGCGGCGACTCGGCACTGGAAAGCCAAAGGGAGAGGAGGGGGACGGCGCCGCTGCCCCTCCTCGGGGAGGGTCACCTAGGCTTGTCGCTAGCGGTCTGGAGAGTGCTCCCTGCTCCCCTGAGGTTGGGGGCCCCGAAAGGGGGCCATTCCCCTCGCTAAGCGCAGGAATAGGGAAGAAGAACCTGGTGTTTGCTGGAGACTAATGAAGCAATTGCGGAGTTGATGATAGAAACTTCCTGCTCCATCTGTTGTAGAACTGGTTAAGCAGCCCCCTCCCCTTTAGGAGATGACGGAGC